GCCTGCTGCACATCTGGGTCCGCATGGAGGGGCTTGTAGTTAATCTCGTCAACATTTACGCCCCGACATTGGGCCCGGAGAGGTTGTGTTTTTATCAGCAGGCGTCCGCCTTCCTTGGCACCTTGGATCCTCGCGAGTGCCTGGTCCTGGGCGCGGACTTTAACGCCACCCTTGAGGAACAGGACCGCTCGGGGACCGAGCTGCACCAGGCCGCCGCGGACGTCCTCCAGGAGATCGTCGAACATCACTCCCTGGTGGATGTCTGGCGTGACCACCACCCGGATGACGTTTCGACATTCACTTTTGTCCGGGTGGAGGTCCATTGGTCGTACCACTCCCGGTTGGACCGCATCTATATGTCACGCTTCCATCTTTCCCGGGCCCACTCCTCCAGCGTCCGGCCGGCCCCTTTTTCAGATCACCATCTAGCCACCATGACAGCCTCTCTCTGCGCGGAGAGGCCGGGGCCGGCCTATTGGCACTTTAATAATAGCTTGTTGGAGGATGTGGGCTTCGTGGTGTCCTTCCGGGAGTTCTGGCTAGCCTGGCGAGGGCAGCGGCGTGCCATTCCCTCAGCGCGATGGTGGTGGGACCTGGGGAAGGTGTGCGCCCGGCTCTTCTGCCGTGACTACACCTGGGGCGCCAGCCGATGGAGGGATGCGGCGATAGGGCAGTTGGAACGGGAGGTCTTAGAGCTGGAGAGGCGTCTGGCTGCCAGCCCCGGTGATCCATCCCTCTGCGGAGCGTGCCGGGAGAAGCGGGAAGAGCTGCGGACCCTCGAGGACCATCGGGCCCGAGGTGCCTTTGTTCGATCCCGCATCCGTCTCCTTCGGGAGATGGATCGCGGTTTCCGCTTCTTCTACACCTTGGAGAAAAAGAGGGGGGCTAAAAAGCACGTCACCTGCCTTCTAGCAGAGGACAGCACCCCTCTCACGGATCCGGCGGAAATGTGCAGGAGGGCCAGGGCCTTCTACGCAGGCCTTTTCCCCCCGGATCCGACCGATCCTAACGCTTGCAGAATGCTCTGGGATGAACTCCCGACGGTCAGCGCGGGCGACCGAGACCGGCTGGAGCTGCCTCTCACTCTGGCCGAGTTCTCGGAAGCCCTCTGCCGCATGCCCACCAATAAATCTCCGGGCATGGACGGGCTGACCGTGGAGTTCTACCGCGTGTTTTGGGACGTCCTCGGCTCGGACCTTGTCACCGTCTGGGCCGAGTCCTTGCAGGGCGGGGTCCTCCCTCTTTCGTGCAGGCGAGCTGTGCTGACCTTATTGCCGAAGAAGGGGGACCTCCGTGATTTACGGAATTGGCGTCCCATCTCGCTCCTCAGCACGGACTATAAAATCATAGCAAAGGCCATCTCGCTGCGGCTAGGGTCCGTCTTGGTGGACGTGATCCACCCAGACCAGACCTACACCGTCCCGGGCCGCACCATCTTCGACAACTTGTATCTGGTCCGGGACCTCTTGGAACTCGGGTGTAGGGATGGTCTGTCGTTCGCCCTCCTGTCCCTGGATCAGGAGAAGGCGTTCGACAGGGTGGACCACGGATATCTCCTGGGCACTCTGCGAGCGTTTGGCTTCGGGCCCCAGTTTGTGGGTTTTCTCCAGGTGCTGTACGCCGCCGCAGAGTGTTTGGTCAGGCTCAACTGGACCCTGACCGAACCGGTCAGCTTCGGGCGAGGAGTACGTCAAGGCTGCCCCCTCTCGGGCCAGCTGTATGCTCTGGCGATCGAGCCCTTCCTCTGTCTCCTCCGTAGGAGGTTGGCAGGGTTGGTGCTGCGGGAGCCGGAGCTGCGGCTGGTCCTGTCGGCGTACGCTGACGATGTGCTCCTCGTGGTCCAGGACCCGGGGGACCTGGTGCGGGTGGAGGCTTGCCAGACCATCTATTCGGCTGCCTCCTCCGCCCGGGTTAACTGGGTCAAGAGCTCTGGCCTGGTGGTAGGGGACGCGTGGCAGGCGAGCTCCCTCCCACCCACGCTTCAGGCCATCCGGTGGAGCGCGGGTCCGCTGCTCTATCTCGGCGTTTACCTTTCTCCCACGCATCCATGTCCGCCGGAGAACTGGCTAGGTTTAGAGGGCAGAGTGTCGGAGCGGCTCCGGAAATGGACAGGACTACTCCGGTGTCTCTCCCTTCGAGGGAGAGCACTGGTGCTCAATCAACTAGTCCTGTCCATGCTCTGGTGCCAGCTCAACACCCTGGTCCCGGCCCCGGGCTTCCTGACCACCCTCCGGACGTTGATTCTGGAGTTCTTTTGGTCAGGACTGCACTGGGTCTCTGCGGGGGTTCTCCATCTACCCCTGGAGGAGGGAGGGCAGGGCCTGAAGTGTCTGCACACTCAGGTCCACGTCTTCCGCCTCCAGGCCCTGCAGAGGCTCCTTTATGGTGCAGGTAGTCCAGCATGGAGCGTATTGGCGCACGCCTTCCTGCACCGCTTCCGAGGGCTCCGATATGACCGGCAGCTCCTTTGTCTCCATCCGAGAGGTCTTCCGCAAGGCCTCTCCGAGCTGCCGGTCTTCTACCAGGACCTCCTCCGGACCTGGAAACTGTTTTCAGTGACCAGGTCCGTGGCGGCCACCGTGGGGGCAGATCTCCTCGCGGAGCCCCTGCTACACAACTCCCAGCTTCGTGTGCAGGTGGCGGAGTCCCCCATGGTGCGCCAGAGGTTGGTCCTAGCAGAAGTCACCAAAGTCGGAGACCTCCTGGACTACGACCTGGGAGACTGGCTGGATCCCCTGATGCTCGCTCAGCGCATGGGGCTCTCCAGACCTCGTACTCCCCGGCGCGTACTTCAGGAGGTGAGGGCCGCTTTGCCGCCCGCTGCTCGGGACTATCTCGACCGGGTCCTGCGAGAGGGCACGCCCCGCCCACCCTCCACTCCGAGCCCTCCAGACTTTTTCATCGGGCCCCTGCCCCGTGGACCCAACCAGCCCCCTCCCCATCCATTCGCCATGAGCCGGCTGCACCATCTGCAGCCGGTTCTGTTCCGGACCGCGCCAAGGAAACATCTATACATGCTCGTGCTCCATGTTCTTCATGTCCTCACCCTCGCGTCCCGCCCCGATACGAAGTGGCGGGACCTTCTGCCACCTCTGGAGGGTGAGGAGCCCCGGTGGGCCAACCTTTATTCTGCTCTGATCCCGAAGCCCACCGGGGACATCAGTTGGCGGCTTCTTCACAGAGCAGTGAGCACGGGTGTGTACTTGGCGCGGTTTACCCTTATCCCAGACACCTGCCCCTTTTGCGGAGTGAGGGAGACCCTGGCGCATGTTTACCTGGAGTGCGCCAGGCTGCAGCCCCTATTCCAGCTCCTCACGGATATTTTGTTAAGGTTTTGGTTGCACTTTTCCCCTCACCTTTTTATTTATGCACTCCCTATCCGTCGCCCCACAAAGTAGCGGAACCTCCTGGTCATCCTCCTTCTGGCCCTAGCAAAACTGGCCATCTATAAAACCAGAGTGAGGAGGTTGGCCGATGGAGTTTCCTGTGACTGTGGGGCGTATTTCAGGTCCTCCGTTCTTTCACGTATCCGGGCAGAGTTCCTCTGGGCTGCTCCTCGAAGGCATCAAGGGAGCCAGTGGACGCTGTCCGGGGTTCTCTGCTCGGTGTCCCTGTCTGGTTCGCTTCATTTGACCCTTTGACCTCACTCCTGTCCCTGTTTTTTTTATTAGTTGTCCCCCATAATTTTTTGGTCTCCAGGTCCTGTGGACCCCCCCTTAGGCTGGGGGGGATCCTTTAGCAGTGGGCGGGCAAAGCCACTTCCACTTCCTGGATCCCAATAGGTCTAGTCACTCAGGGAACAGAAAACTATTCATCCAGTGACCAGTATATTTGCCCTCTACCAGACTCCTGTACCCCACTGGTCTTGGTCTGTCACAGATTATAGGATAAGGTTTCCTGAGATGGCCAAGGACTAGACTTGATGACATAGACCTATGTTCTCTGTTCCTATGTACTGCCTCCAAACTAACAACCTGGCCCTTTAGGTCAAACTACAAAGGCTTATGTGTCTAGAACTAGACATCCTAAATTCACTCCTTGCTGATGACCAGTCATCATACAAACATCAAGCTTGTTATCAACAAAATTTGCTCCAATAATTTTAAAGATATGGAAGCTTATTTTTGAAGTGATCTCAAAAGGTGTTTAACTACAGAATGTTGAAATGCCTCTTTCAGTCCCTTTAAATTGATGAAGTTTTAAATGCTGGTAAGTTTTCACCACAGGTGTCTGAGTTTACAAATAACGAGGTATCTGGGTAAGAAGTTAATCAGTATTGCATATACGTGTACCATCTGCCACAGCTACTCAGATATACAGATAAAAGGTATTACACCAGTTCAGAAATGGTTTAACACAGTGCACAGTCTACCTATGTGAGAGCTTCAAACACTCATGACACCATCATATGAAAACTATTTTTTCGCAATCCACAGCCCAGTTTTCAGTGGGGACCATTTTTATACAGGATCTCAACTTTCACAACTGAACCATCTTTATTATAGCCCAATTATACAAACCATAGTTTTTCCCTGACGTGGTATAGGTGAAAGGACCATCAACCTCAAGTGGTTCCATCACCTCTCCCTCCCCTCTTGCAGAGCCAGTTGTACCGTGCCTTCTGATTCCCTTGCCAGCAGTTCTGTCCCGAGCCCCGCAGAGCACTTACCCTTCTTCAGCATCAGCGCTCTCTCCAGATACTCATCCTCCGTCAGCACCTTCCCATCAATCTCAAGGTCAAGGGTGAAGTCCCGCACAGTCCAGATGAAGTTTGGAAAGAAGCTGATGTACTCTGTGTCGAGAGCAGAATCCTCCTCCCCCTTATCAGCTTTCACCTTTATGTGCTCAGAAAGCTCAGACACAAAGCTGAACAGGCAGCTAAGGAATCCGGACAGGTTCAAGTGGGATGGCTAGAGACAGAGGCCAGGAGTAAAGCAGCATGGCCAGTCCCAGCCGTGCATGGAGTGTGTGTTGCACCCTGTGCTTTGGAAGGCCTCCTATGAAGCCAGGGCAAGTCTGTCATTCCCTGTGCACCAATGACCACCCCTTCCTCTCACAGACTGGGCACCTGTGGCAGCTGCAACACACACACACTCCTCTTCCCCCCCTACTACCTGGGCCCTGTGGTGGCATATACAAACCCCACACTGCATCCAGGCCAGGTCAGAAAGGCATTAATGATCTATCCTGAAGACACAAGATGACCCACCCCTAAAGACATAGAGGGAGCTGGGAAATCTCACGACCATCTAGTGAGACAAGGGGCTTCCTGAGGGAAGGGAAAGCTCCGTCACAGATTGTTTGACTATTCAGAGAGTGGGAGAGACTGATTAGGACTCCCTGATGGAACATTAATCCCAACTATGAACTAGGAGTGAAATCCTGGCCCCTTTGACATGAGTGGGAGTTTTGACATTGACGTCACTGGGGCCAGGATTTCCCCTAGATGTTACTTCACCCCTGGAGCTCACCCCTGCCCATACCCAACTCGGACATGGATACTCAGTTTATTGCTTGACTTGTTTGCTTTGAATAAAGAGGGGTATTTCCAGCATCACCTAGACTTCTTTTTGACCTTAGCTGTGGCCAGTAGACACCCCACTGCTGTGTTACCTGAACAGCAGGTCTCCAACACTCCTCTGCTGGGGTCAGTGCCTCACAACTGTCCTGGATCTGGTTAGTGATGGAAGAGAGGACTCTGAGACTGAGCCAGGAAATGGATCCCAGCTTCTCCCCTTATTTGACTAGGTCCCACCAGCCAGTTTTCAATATTTATTTTACATAGAAATAAATCTGCCCCCAAAGGGCAATATCCCATCACAGCCCCAATACAGATAACTGTCCAGCAGGTCTTCAAAACAGTCTTGATGTGGGCAAGTCATTTAACATCTTCCCTTCTGTGATGGGCTTTGCAAACACCACACTGAGAAACACAGAGTTAAAGGGCTAATGCGGGCTCAGGTGGTTCTGCACCATCACACCTGTGAGGGATATCAGGATTGGAGGGAGAGCTGAAGAGAAAGAACTAGGGAGCAGAGAAAACCTCAGTTCTTGGAGAGAGGCTGTCTGACTGAAGCTGGAGCTGTCAAGATGACCTGTGCCTGATGAGGGAAGGGAGGCCAGATGCTGATTCTTCTAGAAAGAGAACAACTCTCCTCTATTGCCTGTGAACTCAGTTTAGGGCCACAGCCTGACAGGAAGAGAGCCTTGGACCCAACTTTGGAAAGATGTGTTTGTGTTAATTCCCCTTGTTTCTGTTCACTGGCTGCCCTGGAAGGATGCCATCATGGAATGATGTCAGATTGGAGGGAGGTCACAAGTGGGGATCCATAGGGATTCGTTCTGGCTCCAGTTTTGTTTAACATCTTTATTAATGAACTGGATGTAGGTATAGAGAGCATACTGATCAAATTTGAAGATGACACAAACTAGAGGGGGGTTGACAACACCATGAAGAATAGAGCTAAAATACAGAGGGATCTTGATAAAATGGAGAACTGGGCTATAGTCAACAAAATGAAATTCAGCAAAGACAAATGGAAGGTGCTACACTTAGGGAAGAAAAACCAAATGTACAAATACAGAATGGAGGATAACTGGCTTGGCAGCAGCACTCTTGAGAAGCATCTAGGAGTTGTGGTGGATCACAACCTCAACCTGAGTCAGCCATATGATGCTGTTGCAAAAAGAAGAAACACAATTTTAGGTTACATTAACAGAGACCCAGCATGCAAGTCAGGGGAGGTGATAGTACCAGTCTACTTGGCACTGGTGAGGCCTCAGCTGGAGTAGTGTGTCCAATTTTGGTCACTGCTGTATAAAAAGGCTGTAGAGAAACTGGAAAGGATCCAGAGGCAAGCGACAAAGATGATCGAAGGGATGGAATGCAAACCATCTGAACAAAGGCTGAAGGAACTGTGTTTAGTTGAAAAAGAGGGGATTAAAGGATGACGTGATAACCACCTTTAAGTACTTGAAAGGCTGTGTGGTGGAAAAATGACCATGCGTTGTGTTTAGTTCAGATCAGCCTGAGGCCACTTTATTGAAAGCCTGCATGCAGGGGTGACAGCCAGAAAAACTGCCACCCCAAGCACGGCACACTGAATGCTTATATAGCTTAAACCCACAAACGGTTACATGTAATACATCAAAACAGGTTTCCTTATAAGGGAGAATAGCAAAACAAGCTTTTCCTGTTATTCACGGGTGTACTTCTAGCAAGCTTTCCTGTTATTCACAAGTGTTCCTTTTGCAGTTTAACAGCCTTTCTAACACTACCGATGTGGTTACATTTTTCTAGCTAAGGCAGTTACTTAAATGGTTGCTTAAAATTTCCACTGCTCAACATTTTCCACTTCCCATGGCCACTTTTGTCTCATGGCCATTTATTCAGCTATTTAGGCCAAAGCTTAGGCTTGGTCAATTTTTCCTCTACAGCTGCCATAAGAAAGATGGAGAAAAGTTGCTCTGTCTTGCAACAGAGGGCAGGACAAGAGGCAATGGGTTCAAACTACAACACAGCAGATTTAGATGAAATCTCAGGAAAAGCTTGCTAACTCTAAAGAATGGTAGGACAATGGAGCAGACTGCCTGGGGAGGTTGTGGAAGCTCCTTCACTGGATGCTTTCAAAAGAAGGCTGGACCCATCTGTCCTGGATGGTTTAAGTCAACAAATCCTGCATCTTTGCAGGAGATTAGACTAGATGACCACTGAAGTCCCTTCTAACTTTATGGTTGAATTATTCTAAGGGGAGAGTTTAAAGTGACCTGACCGGAGGGGCATATCACAGGAAGAGGCAGCCCATCAGAGGGACTGTTGGCAGATGCCTGATGAGGAGAGAATGCTACGCCATGCCCAGCCACAAGAAGGTGAGAGAACCACTGCGCCGTGCCTGGAGGTACTCAGAGTCAACCCTGTCACATCTCCTTAGAAAATTAAAAGCATGTTCTGATTATTTCTGTTTGCAATTCAGACCTTTGTGGTTCCATGCAATGTTGCACTGATAAATGTTTTAAAAAGTATATAACTACAGGATACAAAGGTTCATCACATGATATATCCTCCATCAGTCCATCAAATATCCCTCAGTGACCCCCTCCCTCCTATCTTGTAACCTCCCTCAACCTATTCTTATCCCCCTTTACACTCTTTTCCTCAACCTCTCACTCCCATTAGGTTTCTTCTCTTCCCAGTGAAAGCATGCTCTGGTCTTTCCCATCTTAACAAAGGCCACCTTCGATCCCACATTGCCCTCATTCCCAATCTCTCATCATCTCCAAACACATCAATGGCACCGTTTGTGCCTGCTGTCTAGAATTCCTTTCCTCCAGTTCCATTCTAGATCCCTCCTCTCTGCTTTCTACCCCCTGTTCTCCATTGAAATCCCTCTCACCATAGGCACCGACTTCCCCTTTAGCTGGGGGGTACTCAACACTCCCCCTCCACCCCTGGACCTGTCCCCAGTCTACACTTTCCTCCAAGCCTCTGCCCCACCCCCATTCCACTCCTTCCCCCAAGTCCCTGCCCCAGCTTCATCTCATCCTGCTCCTGCCCCACCTCTTCCCAGCTTCCTCCCCCAAGCACGACCCGTCCCTGCTCCTCCCCCTCCCTCCTAGAGCATCCTGGAGACGCTGGGAGGGAGGTGGGAAGAGTTGGTTAGCAGGGCCGCCAGTGGCCGAGAGGCGCTGTGTGAGTGGGGGCAGAAGGGGGAGCTTGGCTGCCGGTGGGTGCTGAGCACCTGCTAATTTTCCCCTGTTGGTGCTCCAGCCCCGGAGCGCCCACGGATTCAGTGCCTATGACTCTCATTAAGGCTATGTCTGCACATAAACCACTACAGCGGCACTGCTATAGCACTTCAGTGAATACACTACCTACGCAAACAGGAGGCCTTCTCCTGTCAACCTAGTGCTTTCTACACTGGGGATTAGGTTGGTTTAACTGTGTCGCTCAGGGGTGTGGATTTTTCACACAATTATACTTGCCTAATTTCCTAGTGTAGACCAGGCCTAAGATTTCTAGTGATCCCTTCAGGGCCTCTGCTACACCCTCATCCTCCTCAACCTATCAGCTGCCTTCAATACTATAAACCATATGCTTCTTGAAATCTTGTCTTTTCTCCGCTTTCAAGACTCTTGCCAGCGCTACACAAAATGTTGCACTGGTTTAACTAAATGCACGTTTTTAAACTAGTTTAGTTAAACTAGTGAAAGTAGACACTCAAATTGATTTAAACTTATACAAGACAGTTTTAAATCAATATAGGAGTGTCCACGCAGGAGTTTGCCCTGGTTTATATAAATTGTTTTAAGCCATTTTTAATTAAATTAACGGAACTTCTGAGTGTAGACCAGGCCTCTGTCCTCTCACATGTCTCTTCCTACATCTCTATCACACTTTCAAGTTTTGTTCAGTGAATCCACCTCATCATTCCTCTAGTTTTTGGTGGGGGTTGCAGGCCCCATCCTTGCCCCTCTTCTCCCTCTACATCCTATCTCTGGGTGATCTTTTCTGAACACATGACTTTAGCTATCATCTTTATGCTGGTGATTCATAGGTTCGCTGCTGTGCTTCAGACCCATCTCCCTCTGTCTCAACTAAAATCTCAGCCTGTCTCTCTGACCTCTAGTGTGGATATCCAGTCTCAACTCACACTCAACAGTCAGAGTGGAGTACTCAGTCTTTCCCTCCAGGCCCTTCCCTCCCTCCTCATTCTCTGTCACTATGGACAATAGCACCATCTTCCCAGTCATTCAGGTCTATGTAACCTGTGCCTTATCTTTCACTCAGTCCTCTCTAGACTCATATATCCAGGCCATGTTAAAATCTTGCTGCTATGTCCTACATAACATTTCTAATATCTGGCCTCTCCTCCAAATCCAAACCAACA